AGATATGGACCTCTTTGGGAGGTTAGTATTCTGCCAATCACAGTTCTCTGTAATTTAAATTGCAGACCTCTGTGCAAACTCTAATACATCTGCTAATGTGTGTCTTGCTCCATATACTCTGCTATATCCTATTTTAAATGTCTCTGCTATCAGTTGCCAACTCTTAAAAAGAACATTTTCTGCCTGTATTCAGGACCTTACGTTCTGTCTTTCCTCTTAGAAACCTCTGCCTGTCATTGTTTCTCTCTTTCTCCTGAGTCTCCAACTTCCTTCTTTACTGACTCTTTCCCATTAGTATTTAAACATGCTCAAGTCCCTCTCATGTTACATATTTTTTAAAAAGCCTGCATTTATCTCCATTATAGCCAGACATCTTGAAAGAATGTCCACTTAGCTCCAGTCACTGCTTAAACTCCTGCCATCTGGTTTTATGGTTACATCCCCAATAACCAGTGCAAGGCTCAGCCTAGGATATGTGCTTACTAAATATTTGTTAAATTAATAACAGAATTTCTGCCTAATCACCCAAGTCTGTTATCAGGTCTCTGGTGATACTCTCAGCATAATGACTGCTCTTTGGGATTGTGTGTGTGTCTCAATTAATTTACATTTGTAGTTGAGAATTGTAGTTGAGAATACCCATCATGAATCACAAAGCCAAATATATATATGTATATATATACACACATATATATAAAATAAATATATATATAATATATATATTTTAATATATATATGTGTGTATATATATATTTTTTTGCAACGAGCAACCCAGGCTGGAGTGCAGTGGTCTGATCTCGGCCCACTGCAACCTCCGCCTCCCAGGTTCAAGTGATTCTCTTGCCTCAGCCTCCTGAGTAGCTGGGATTACAGGCATGTACCACCATGCCTGGCTAATTTTTGTATGTTTTTTAGTAGAGATGGGGTTTCGCCATGTTGGCCAGTCTGGTCTTGAACTCCTGACTTCAGGTGATCTGCCCACCTTGGCCTCCCAAAGTGCTGAGATTACAGGTGTTAACCACTGCGCCCGGCCTATATATATATTTTTTCAGCAAATGTTTTATTCTGTTTGGGATGACATATGTCACTATCCCATTAACCCCTGTTTTATATTTGTTTAGCATTTCATACTTTTTATGATGCTTCTGCATATAATATTTTATTTGGTTTTTGTCAACACCTTCATGAAATAGGAAGACATGGAGGTGTTCTTGTTTTAAAGGTTAAGTTCTTGAGGCCCAGAGCAACTAAGGTATTTCCCTAAATCATACACAAAGTTAATGATACATCTAGGACTAGCACTCAGGTTTCTTAACTCCTTTCTTTGAATTCTTTTGCTGTCACATGTGATTATAGTAACATATTCAAGAGCAAAGCAAAGTATAGAAGGTCATCAAGGGGAGTAGGGATCTGCATATGAACCTGTGCCTGGCTTGTTTTACAATGTCTTTAAATGTATGTTCTATGTGGCTGTGAGCAACTTTTGACACAATCCCACCTGAATTCCATTGACATGATTAGGTAATAGTGGTGAAGAATGAATAACTTGCTGGATGAACTGAGGAAAGGAGATAGTAAGGGGTTGCATGTTGTTAGTATTAAGCTAAAGATCTTAGCTGAACAGCTTCAACTTTGTGGTTTGACTTAGAAATGAAGTAGTATTTCTCTTTCCAAACTCAAGACACCTCTGTGTTCCAGTGCTGTTGTGAGCGACATTTTAAAGGATCTCTGCAGGAGGAATACTTAATGAAAACATGTAAAAGGATTCTTGTTGTTAAGTGTTCTTTACTGTCTCTTGAAAGGAGAGTGGGTGGGTGAGGGATTAAGAGTTGGAGTGTAGGCAAGTGATTTAAATTACTGAGAGTTTCCTACTTACCACTGTTAAAATAATGTTATTTTGAATTTAGCAAGGTGAAATCTAGTTCAACTGAAGTAATCAAACTTCTCCATTCTGAATGCTTGCTTAGTTAGAGAATTAGCTTAAATTTGATTTGATGTCGGGGACAGTTTAACTCACCCCAGGTGAAGTCCGGTTTCTCTGCTACCTCATCCCAACATCCTATTCTAGTTGCTGTGCTGTGCTTTCCTACCTTTGCCTTACTGTGATCCTTATATCTGGTTTCTCTCCATAGGTCTCCAACTGTAACCAGGTTCCCCTTCCTCTTTCTGGGACCTTACACATTGACTTTTAGGTCATTTGGTTTTTATAGGCCAGTATCATGAAGGCCAAATGAAACCCTTCTAAAGAGTAGGGATCATGTAAGGGCCATGTTGTGAAGAAGTGACTTGAGGTAAGAGTGAGGTTTCTGGCATCCAGTGGGCCTATTTTACATCACAGCTCCTCCATTGGCTTAGCTGTGTGACCCTGAGCAAATGTTAACCTCTTCTAGCATTAGTTTCCTCATCAGTCTAAATGGGATCATAGGATCTCGTTCTTAGGGTGGTTGCCAGAATTAAGTTAGTTAACCTAAATAAAGCACTTAGCAGTGTATGACACATGATGAGGGCTCAGTAAATTTAGTTGTAATTATTCTTGCTGTTATCATTGAAAGAGAACTGGATACAGTTAGGAAGTTTTGTGTGAGCCTGGTAAAGTTGCTTTACCTGTTTGGACCTTATTTCTTTCATCTGTGAAATGAAGGTACTGAGAAGGAGTACTGCCATGTGGACAACTGATAGACCCTATTCAGGCCTGATTATGTTAATGTTTCGTCCAAATGCATCCGATTCCCATTTTTTTCAGCTCCATCTTCTGTAACCCAGGAAGCCTCCTGATGCTTCCTCATCACTCATGCTGTCTTCTGCTCATCAAAATAACTTGTCCAGATGTCGTACCCTTTAGGTTCTTCTAGATGAAACTTAGTAAGCAATTTTATGCAAAAGTACTCTAAATAAACAATACTGATGAGTATTGTGTAATAGTTTAACATCTTACTTTTTTAGATAGAATTTTTAAAACCAGAAGGATGTTTATGATGAAGTTTTTTTTTTTTTTTTTTTTTTTTTTGATCATATTAATGTTTCTCAAATTTTCTACCAAAGCCTGGGCATTTAGAAAACATGCCCCTAGCTGACCCTCCCCTACCAGCTCCAATCATAAAATGTCTTTGAATTATCATATTTGATTTTCATATTCATTTAAACTTTATATTCTATTCCATAGTATAGCCATGTTTGTTATAATTTTAAAATGTTTTAAATTATACATCAGTTCTTATTTAACTCCTCACCTGTTTAAGCTTCTAGTCAAACTGATGCCTCCAAATGTGTGCCGTGTTTATCTCGAGGCTTTGAGTACCTCTGTAATCTAATTGAGAGCAGTAGGGTGATCTAAAGGTGTGGCTCTGAAGATGTGACTTACTGGGCACGTCACAGACCTGGACACATCTATGAAGGAGATATTTTTGACTGTTGATCAAATTACTTTAGGAAGTTGACGTGGTAGCATTGAAGAGAGTTTTTATTTATTTATTTATGTAGAGGCAGAGTCTTCCTCTGTCACCCAGGCTGGAGTACAGTGGTACAATCTTGGCTCACTGCAACCTCTGCCTCCTGAGTTCAAGTGATTCTCATACCTCGGGCTCCTGTAGCTGGGATTACAGGCATGTGCCACCACGCCCAGCTAATTTTTGTATTTTTAGTAGAGACAGGGTTTCACCATGTTGGCCAGGCTGGTCTCGAACTGCTGGCCTCAGGTGATTGACCCACCTGGACCTCCCAAAATGCTGGGATTGCAGGCATAAGCCACCATGCCCGACCTGAAGAGAGTTTTTAATTGCTATGAGTTGAAAACAGACAATCATCACTGATCCAATATCTTTGGAAAAGGTTAAGGGAATAGCCCTTTTCCTCTTAGGACATGTGTACAAACTTGAAAATTCGAAAATGTTCCCAAATTACTGCAAATCTAACTTTTATACCTTTGGGATATGTGAAAATATGGACTTGTGGAAACCTATTTTCTTTCCTTTAGGAGGAGGGGCTTTCTCAAATTATCTTCTGATCTCTTCTTATCTTTGCTTGCAGTTGCAGAGTGGCATGGTAACACGACAGCTAGGATACCTGATACCTGTTAGCAATGTGGCCTACAGCAAATACTTTCTCTAAGCTTGACTTTCTTTACATAAATAGGTTTTATGATTTCAGTGATCTCTCCAATGAGATCAGGTGTGTGGCTTTATGTTCCTTCTAGCAGCCACTACTTTCTTGTCTATGCTACTTGTCTCATCTGTAATTACTGACTTAGTGCGTATAATTTCTATAAGACTGTAACCTTCATATACCATGGGTGTTTTGCTCACAATTACATGCCAAGTACCTTCTACATTGCCTGGCACATAGTATTCATTTACCCCAAAATATATTTTTAATGCCTACTAAATGGCAGGTACTGTTTTAGGCACTGGAAAATACAGCAGGAATAGATTAGTCAAGGTCTCCAATCTCATGCAGTTTAGATTCTTAATGCATTCCTGTTCAACAGAACATCTGTGGTGATGGAAATGTTCTTTACCATCTTGTCCAGTATGATGGCCATTAACCACATGCAGCTATTAAGCACCTGAAATGTGGCAGGTGTAAATGAGGACTGAGTTTTTAACTTGGTTTAATTTTAATTAATTTAAATTGCTACACGTGTCCAGTGGCTACCATTTTTGGGCAATAATGTGCTAGAGGACTAAGGCATTAGAGACAGAGATAAATAAGAAGATAAATAAAATTTCACATAGTGATAAGAACTGAGAAGAGAGAAAACAGGGTGATGAAAAGATAACTAGGGAAGAATTCTAGATATGGTGATTCTAGTTGAGTATGCATCAATAAATGTAAAATAAATGAACTATGAAGTTTTAATTTTAAAAACTTTGCTTCTTGGTACTTTTGCTTGGGAGCCCTTAATTGGTGATCTAGTGTTTTTCTTTTTGGAAAACAACTCCAAAATCCCAAAATAAACCCTCATGTGTCTGTCATTTCATTAACTGCAAACATTTTTTTTCTAGCCCTGAACTGTCTTCTCCAGTTCCTGTTGGTGATACTTCAACATTGGGAGGTATGCTTTTGTGTCTTTATTCACTTTTCTTTTTAAATTATTTATGGTTTAAGACAGTCTCACAAAAAAGTACATTTTTTTGTGCTAACTTTTAAAAAATATCAGATTTCTCTCTTTTTATATGTTGTTCAAAATTCTCAAGAAAAAGTAATTTTTAAATATTTATGGCATAATGTTGTCGGTACCTAAAAATCCTTAATCGTTAAGTATATAATACAAGTCTGAACACCACTGAAAACAAATGTATGAGCTAATGAATTATTTTAAGGCAAACACTCTGTAGCTACCACTAATGTCAAAGTGTAGAACCATTCTAACGCCACCATCTGTCATTCGTCCTGTGAGAGTTTTCCAGAGGAAGGATTTTCTTGTTGCATTCTGTGGTACAGTTTAACATGTTCCTTTGACCAGTATATTTCTTGTAAATTGGTAATTCATTTCTTTATTTTTAATTAAAAAAAAACCCACAAACTTCTCTGTGTTAGAAATTTCAAACATCTACAAAAATAGAATAACATGATAAGGTCCAGTTTTAACGCTTGTCAATTCACAGCCAATTTCCAACCTTTACCCACTTCCCCTCTCTGGTAGAGGAGTTACTTCTTTTAGTATATGTCCCCTTTGCTAGATAGCTCCTTAAGTATAGGAATGTTGTCTCTGTGTCCGTAGTGTCTTGTGCAGAGTCTGGCATACAGTAGGTGCTCAATATATGCTTGTTGAATACACCACAATTATCTCTTGTTCTGAGAAGACGCCATACAAATGTGTCTTGAGGTTAAAAGCACCGAATTTCCAGGACAATAAAGCAAACTATTTATGGGAATGGTTTTTGAAGTCAGTTCCTTATTTCCTGATAGGAATTCTGACTTAATCAGGGACTGAATTCATGCATATGTTTTTGCTTTTCTTCTTAGACGCTGCTCTCAGTGTTCCACATCCAGGGGTGGACTCCTATGAAGGTGCCTCAGACAGCAGCTTGGAAAGGCCAGAGGAGAGTGTGAGTGATACTCTGTTTTGTTACTTAGTTTCTAACATGGAGCATAGAGAGTAAGAGAGAGTTTATCTCCCATTGCTGGACTACACAGGACTTCATGTAGTGCCCTGTTAGAAAAATGACGTGAATTCTAAAACCAGTACATTAAAAACAATTTTGAGGTTCCTTGGAGAACTGAGTAAATCTGCTCTTATTGTAGAGTTTTTGGTGAGAGAGGGCTTCAAATTATAAATGAAATGGACTGTCATTGAGGGAAGCCCACTGCCTCTTGTGGCCTCTGTGACATGATTTACTATGGTGGTTTTGCCTATGTTCTTCTAACCCTTAAGAGACCAGATCTTAGCTCTTCAGAGGGTAAAGCTATACATTTTATGTAGTTTAAAAGGCAAAAAGTACCATGCATTGTGAATATACCATAATTAATAGAAACCTGTCCACTGAACAACACTAAATCCTATAGCTGAGTCTCTCACAAAAGATATGTACAGATTAACCAAAAAATTACACATTGCCCAGGAATATAGAAACATTTTGTTAGATATTTAAATACTGCATTTAAAAAATTAGGGGGTTCACAAATGCTGTTTTTTAAACATAGAGCAAACTCTGACAAAACGTAGTCACTAGGAAGATGCAATTTAGTTATCTTGCACCTTCACTTCCCAACGTGGACATTTTAACTTACATGAAATCAGGTTAAGTCGCTCCACTTTGCCTCATCACCCTCCCTGTCACTGAACAAGTCTGGTGGTAATCCCTGAGTGGATACCTGAATCAATACTTTTATGCTAAGTACAGCCGTGTTCCAAGTAGATGGTGCTAGCAAATACTGGCATTTGATAAATATTTGTGAATGAATGAATAAAAAGTGATACTGTAGCTTTGAACCTGAGGCAGAATAGCTGTGATTTAGATCTGAAAACATTTATAGAATAGATAGAATTCACTTTAATGGAAATTAAGGAATTGCATGCAGTCAATTGGAACATTAATATCCAAAACAGAGGATTTAAGCCAATTTATAGAACCAGTAGGAAAACACAACAATATAGAGATACCTAACAAAAATTAGATTGCCTGTAGCTCTGGTTCAAATGAAGCCCAAGGTAGTTTTATTGTGCAGCTATTTTCCTAATGCATTTTCCCATCTACTCTTCTAGAAATTATATACCATATTTTGGTTCTGTTGGGAGTTATCCTATAAATTATAATGTGTGTTTAACTTAACAAATTTTAAGTTTTTCAACATCTTTATTCTTATCCTGAGCAATGTGGAAACATTAGAACATTGTAATTCAAATGATCATATTGCTGACCTATATGCTACTTTTCAGTATTTTTGTTCTTTCTCTTTTTTCATTCTACTAATTAGACTGTATTATATTCTACTTATACAGCTAAAATTTAAGATTTACCCAGATGTTTACTATTTTATTTATTTTATTTTATTTATTTATTATTCTTTTGAAATGGAGTCTTGCTGTGTCACCCAGGCTGGAGTGCAGTGGATCTCTGCTACTAAAACCTCTGCCTCCAAGATTCAAGTGATTCTCCTGCCTCAGCCTCCTGAGTAGCTGGGATTACAGGAGCATACTACCATGCCCAGCTAATTTTGTATTTTTAGTAGAGATGGGGTTTCAGTTGGCCAGGCTAGTCTTGAACTCCTGACCTCAAGTGATCTGCCCACCTCGGCCTCCCAAAGTGCTGGGATTACAGGTGCGAGCCACTGCTCCTGGCCCTATTATTTTATTTTCTAATTAAAAAAATATTTTAGATCTATCTTCTGGGTAATTTTCCTTCTGAAATATATAATTCAGATATTAATTTAATGAAAGTCTCTCACTGTTTTGATCTCAGCTTTTGATCATCTGAAAATTTCTTCATTCTAATTCTGGAAAGGTGTTTTAAATCTATGTTCAATTCTGGATTGAAGGGTTTTTTTTTTGTCAAGCTTTTATTTTACAATCTTCTGCTTCTGTTGTTGCTACTGAGAAGTGAACTATCAGTTCATTTGGCACTCCCTTTGTAATCTGGTTGTGTTCTTTGGTTGTTTCTAAGATATATATGTATCTACATATACACGTATGTATATATGTTTGTGTATATATGTATATGCATATATATATACACATTTAGTGTACGATTTTGTATTTAAGATTCTGCAGTTTCACAAAAGTGGGTATGGATGTGTATTTATGTTTATTTATTGTGGTTTGGATTTGTTGTATTTCCTTAATGTGAAACTTTATGTCTAACATAAATTTGGAGAAATTCTCAGCTGTTATCTTTCATGATTAGATATGCCTGACCTCCTCATTTTCTCTCTCATGTCTCTTAACTACTTTAATTACTTTAATTTCTGTGTCTCTCTGTGTTGCTTTCAGTTATGTCTGCCACTTCACTAATTCTTCTTTCAACTTAATCTACTGTTGTTCAAACTGTCCATTGAGTTTTTAGAATCCTTTCTTTATGTGGGAGTCTTTGATCTGATTTGTCAACATGTATAGACCTTCTACTTTGTATTCTGTCCCTTTGTGCTATTTAAACTTAAAGCCTAGGTCACAAAGGATCAGCAGATGCTCCATGGAAGCTGCCACCTTCGACACTGACTCAACTCTCTGGATTCCTGTTTTTTGACACCTTGGTTTGGTTTTGTTTTCTTTTTACTTTCTTGCAGACTATGCATTAAAACCATTAAAATATTTACTTAGCGTTTTCAGTATTCCATAGCAGCAATACTGCTCAAGATTTTTTAAAATAATAAACTGGAAACGGGTCTCTTTGAAAATTTAGTGAGATGATGAAGCTTAATAAGGAAAAAATGCAAAGTCTTATGCAAAATTTCATAGGACTAAGAGTTTTTGTTGATATTAGTCTTACTGTGAATCAGTAGTATGATGCAGTTACTGAAAAGACAAAAGCTAGTGTAATTTTAGATTGTTTTAATTGAAATACAGTTTACTGTAAGAGAGATGTGTGGCTAGATTTTTTCATATATTTCTGTTAAAACAACATATTGCATATTTTCATTGGCTAGACTTCACTTGTGAGTGTCATTCTCTAAGAAAGATATTAAGAACCTAAGAAATGTATGGAGGAAAGGAACTAGTGAAAAGTCAGGGAAGACGTGATAGCTGCCTGTACATATTCGACGGGCTTTGTGCAACTAAGTTTTAAATGTGTCACAGGTTATAGAATTTGGATCAATGGTAGAATTTATAGGAAGGTAAATTTGGGTTTAATATTAAGAACTTTCCAACCATGAGAACATTTTTGAAGTGTAGTAGTCTGTATTTGAAAGGCATGCTTCTTTCTCATCAGAGCCATTCGAACTGATGATAAGCAGCCATTTGTCAAGGATATTATGAAGAAAATTCAAGCATCAGAAGGAGTGGTGGAATCTTTGAGGTTCTTTCCCATTCTGAAGTTTTAAAGGTCTCTGACTGTATGATTCGTCAGGGATGATAAACGATACAATGAAAAAAGCCCTGATATTCTCTTCCTGACTCTGTCATTGACATGCTGTGATTCTTTATGCTAGTCATTCATCCTATTCAATCCCTGGTTTTCTTATGTATCAAAATGGAGAAACTTGGATTACATGCACTTAAGTGTATTTTGCATGTGATAATTATTACTGTGGTACTCTAGTAGTGATCTTCTACTTCCATCATTTTTTTCTACCTTTATTAATTATTGAAACTATTCTGTAAGAAACTTGTCACTTCCCTTTCATTTATTTGTTTCATCATTTATTTATTATATCAGTATAGACTCATGGATGTTTAATTTATTCTTTGGGTTATAATCCGTTATTTATTGTTGCTTAAATTATTTCAGCTTTGGCCAGTAGAAGGCCTGGGTTTTTATGTTACAGAGTACAAAAAGTTTGTTGAATATGGGTTCAGGTTCCACATAGCAACTAACCTTTAAGAAATTACTGCTTGTTGAGTGAGGTGTAGCATCAAAAAAGAATATCCACAGTTATCTGAAAAATCTAAATATATTCCTCCCTTCTCTGATAGATATCTGTGTGACCAGATTTTTTTCATGTATGTCAACTAAAACAACATATTGTAACTAATGGAATACAGAAGCAGATAGAAGAATCCAGCTGTCTTCTATTAAGCTAGACATTAAAGAATTTGCAAAAATATAAACAATGTGACTCTTCTCACTATTTTTTTATTTTGCAGAATATTTTCTTCATTTTTACATGAACTGAGATGATTATATTATATTTAAATGAATTAATGTTTTTTAAATTTATCTTTTAATCTTCTGTTTGGTAAATATGTATAGGTGTGACCCACATACATTGGATTCCTCAATGATTATTAAGAGTATAAAGGGCTCTAAGACAAAAAAGTTTGGAAACAACCCTTCTAGGCTATTTTCAGATGATAATTATAGCAGTCAACTATTTTTAAACTCACCTTGATGGTTTCCCAAGGAAAATTTTCTACCTTGCCCTGAACTGTGCAATGTGCGTTCAAAGGAATGAACAAATGCATAGTAATTTCAGTATTGGCCTATGTCTTAAAGTCTACCCAATTTGTTCCAAAGTCAAATACGGTATAATAATGTTATCTTCAGAGGCTGCCTTTAGCACAGTTCTGACACATTGAAACAATCAATAAATGCTTTTTGACTGAATGAATAAGCCTTGGCATTTATTGTTCTTTCTCTGAAAATCCAGGTTAGCAATGAAATTGAGAATGTGATAGAAGAAGCCACAAAACCAGCAGCTGAACAGATTGCAGAATTCAGCATCCACCTTTTGGGGAAGGAGTACAGGGAAGAACTACAGGATTCCTCCAGCTTTCACCACCAGCACCTTGAAGAAGAATTTATTTCAGAGGTGGGTGATTAAAAAAAAAACAAACAAGACAGTATGCCTGCTATGTTAGTTTCCCATATTTACAACACTGTTTAAAGATAGGTTTAGGTTTCAAGTTGTTTGTCTACTTGGTTCCTGGAGTGGTTACTCAGCCATTTCTTCAGAAAACTCTGTAAAAAGTCACAGGACAGATGAATTCTTTCACAGAAAGAAAAATCTTGCCATCTGCTAAAAAATAAATGCAATTTCCAACTTTTGCTGCACAGCCAAGGAAGAAAGTGTCCTGTGGCATAGTTTTGACTTGAAAATATTTGGAGAAATAAGCTTCTCTAAGAAACTACACATACTGTATTGTTTTTCTTAAGGGAACATTACATTTAATGTCTTTTAATTTCATCTTTAGTATTTTTTAGTTGAAAATTTTTGAATAGTTAACACATAGGTAATACCTGGTACAAAGTTTGGAGGCATAAAAGGCCATCCAGTGAAAAATAAATGTTTCTCCTATCCTTAGTTGGAGGTATTTTTAAAAAGGGATTTCTTTAAAGAATTGTGGATTAGACCATCCCATAACTTCACTTTCTGGAAAAATTCTATATAGGACTTAAACTCAAGACTTTTTCCGTCAGAAATGACCCATGGTCCCCGTCTAGTTTGCCTTTGCTTTTGTGCAGTAAGACATTGAATGCTCATCTATCCCTGTCTGTCAGATGACAGGGCACATCATTCCTTACTGTTTATTTTTTCCCATTCCTTCTTGACGGGGTTTTCCTTAGCCAAGTTTATCAATTCCATTACCTTAATTTTCTTCCCCAGATACTATGTCCAGATGGGAAATAAAAATGTGCATCTCTCAGCCAAAGCATTATTGTAGCCATCAGACGTGGGAAGGGGAGGCCAGACAATTCATTTTCCTAGTGGTGTGGCCAAGTTGCAAGGCTGCATGGTATGTGGAAGAAATGTCAGCCAGGCCAGTGGCCACCTGGCATCAAAGAGTGTCTTGGGCTGGCCGTCTGGTTTTCTCTGTCCTTTGATTAAGGAACTTTTGATATAGCTTAGTGTTTGCGTAAACAATTGCATGGAATGACTGCAGATTTAGAGAAGTCCAATAAACACTCTGAAAAATATCTTCATCAGGGACTTTATGAGGCAGGTAGCTATTGAGTTGAGGTGATTAGAGGGTGTTGAAGGTTCTGGACCTACCATGGAACACCTCCTTCTCTGGCCTATCTCTGTACTCCCTGTCCCCTTACCTGGAATGAAATGCCTATCAACAGTCACTTTGCATGAAACAGCAGAGGCAGGGGATCATGTCTCAAACTGAAGGGGATCCTCCAGCTCCCTCCCTTTAGGACACCATCACACAGATGTTTCCCGCAGCTTCTCTGGGTATTACTGGAAGACACACAGGGAGAAAGAAAGCCTGCTTGGAGGGGATGAGGTTTAGGAACTATTAGTCTTTGTCTCTCTCTCTCTCTCTCTCTCTCTCTCTGTGTGTGTGTGTGTGTGTGTGTAAAGGATAAGAAGTGGGGGCATAATAGGTTTGGGACAACACGAAGTACAACATCAGAGAGGGGAAGGTCACACTGTGATGGGCCTGGGAGTGTTGGTGCCTGAGGGCAGTGCCAGTGTCAGTGTGATCCTCACATAGTGCCTTGTGCTCCACAGGTGACTTTCTATTTATTTGCTCACAGCAGCCATGTAGGCAAGCATCTCCAGTTTACAGATGAGGCTCAGGAGGCCAAACAACTTGTTCATTGTCATGTAGTTCTCTAGAAACAGAAATGAAAATCAGGTCTCCTACTGCCTTTCAAAGTACTCCTTCTTCTTCTACAGGGTCCCCTTCCTTTTAATTCAAGGGAGAAGTTATAGTGAACCTTAGTTTTCCCAGTCCTGGTCCCAATTCTCAAGCACATTTCTCATGAGGCAGGGGAAAGAGGAAGGGGCAATGTAATGCAATGGGAAAAATATGGGCTTCGGTGTTAGAGAGATCTGGGATTGAATACATTCTGATTCAGTCACTCACCAAATGTGTGACCTTGGCCAAGTTAGTTAATATCTTATAATCTCCATTTTCTCATCCATAAAACAGGAATAATGTATTATCTCTTGGGATCGTCGCAGAGATTTGAAGTAAAGCAAAGCACCAGACATATTGCAGTCCTCAATACATTTTACTCACTATTAGTATCAATGTTGAAGTCGAATGACTTCTTGCAACTGGATAGCTATACATGTTTAGACTCCAGAGCTGGCAAAGCCTGTGCTAAGATGGGATTAGTAGTAATGATAACATACAGTTGTACAGCATTTTTCAGTTAATGGAGTGCTTTTAGGTACATTTCTTTTAATCTTAAAATCAATATGGTAGGTGGGCAGGGAAGTATTAGTTCTGAAAAAAGAAGGCCTGTGCATGGACACTCTGCCAGCAGAAACAGAGCTGAGACTAACCCTCAGCCTTCTGATTTCTAGTCCTACGTCTTCTACCCCTCCCCACCACCCTACAAGAATTGTAACAGTTTTTTATTTCCTTTCAGAGAGTAAAACAGGGCATATTACTACGGCCAAAGAGTTTCATTCTTTGGCTGTGGATTCTTTATTCTTACGGCATAAAGATCTTCAGTGAATCACGATTTAGAAAAAAAGCCCACTCTCCTCATACGAGGACTTGGTTAAAAGCAGATGCCCAGAGATGTTGCCAAAGTCTATTAATTTATTTCCTTTGTTCTGATGTTGGCCCCATAGTGACCCATCTGCTGAGGTTGTCATCTTCTGAAATGTTACAGATTAAATGTTTATTTTTGTTAAAATATGCATTTGTGCCTAACCTTATTATTATTATTATTATTATTGAGATGGAATATGTCACCCAGGCTGGAGTACAGTGGTGTGATCTCGGCTCACTGCAACCTCTGCCTCCCGGGTTCACACCATTCTCCTGCCTCAGCCTCCTGAGTAGCTGGGACTACAGGCACCCGCCACGATGCCTGGCTAATTTTTTGTATTTTTAGTAGAGACGGGGTTTTACCATATCAGCCAGGATGGTCTCCATCTCCTGACCTTGTGATCCACCCGCCTCCACCTGATTATTTTTACATCTTTAGTCCAATCTAGCATACCATTTTCCACCTCCAGTCACTAAGCTCCTTTGGAGTTACATGGCTAGATTTTAAAGACTCAGTAATAAAACTGGCTGCTGCAGATGTGATGCTCATGAATCGGTCTTCGGACCAACGGAGTTACCTGCCCACAAAGCCTCTCATCTGAGTGTTGCGTGTGTTTGTGGTTCTCTTTCATTGTAGGAGCAGGAAACAGATGCCACCAGCCACATTCACACTGATAGAAAACAAACACTGTTTGTCAGTGTGTGTGCTGTGGCCAGATTTCAAATCCAAACAATAACATTTAAAAATGCTATTACAGGCCTGTAATCCTAGCATTTTGGGAGGCTGAGGCGGGTGGATCACCTGAGGTCAGGAATTCGAGACCAGCCTGGCCAACATAGTGAAACTCCGTCTCTAGTAAAAGTACAAAAATTAGCCGGCATGGAGGTGCACGCCTGTAATTTTAGCTGTTCAGGAGGCTGAGGCAGGACAATTGCTTGAACCTGGGAGGTGGAGGTTGCAGTGAGCTGAGATCGCACCACTGCACTCCAGCCTGGGCAGCAGAGTGAAACTCCATATCAAGGAGAAAAAAAAAAAAAAAGCTATTACAGCTTCTTTTGAAACAATTTTTTTTTTTTTCACATTTCTTCACATAAGGGAAAAACAGTGCTTTGCCAACAAGGAGCATGCTTTTTAATAATTTGGAAAAAATTAATATTAAAGCACATTAAAACTTTAAAAGACAAAATGAAAAAGAAAAATGTGGCAGTGTTTAGGTAAAAATTTTTGTTTCACTTTCTGACCTAGGTATGCCTAGGTAAGTATATAAGCATCTAATAGTTGTGAACAGTGCACTTCTTATTCTACTCTTAAAAGCATTGTTTTCTATATATTTTTCCATATTTCTACATAGTTATCATTTCTATTTGTATTTTTAACAGGTTGAAAATGCATTTACTGGATTACCAGGCTACAAGGAAATTCGTGTACTTGAATTTAGGTAAATAGACTTGTTCCAAATATGCACATGTTCAGTAGCATTCTGTATTCTGAATGGAATGTCCATTATATTTATCATATATATATTCTAACAATAAATGATTTGAATGCTGTAACTTAATGCTATTTCTGGTAAATTAGTATTCTTGATGTTAGTTTTTCAGGTGAGGAAATTGATTTAGAAAAAGACCAAATAATAACTCAAAGAGATATATTAGGTCTAAAGTTGGCTAAGTTAAGAATTCAGGGATTCATGTCCCCAGCTTGCTGCCTACAAGTTACGTAGGTCTTATTTGGCACTGAGACGAGCCTGAAGGCAGACGAGATGTGGCCCCAGTGTTTTCCTAAAGCTTGTCAGTGTGGTGATTTTGACATCTTGGTATGAGACCACTCTGGAAGGGATGTATTAGTCCTTGTTTTAAACATAGCAGATCTGAGTAAACCAGACACCTCTTTTAAAGACATTTATTCCCTGCTTAAGACCCACAGTATAATACTTGTGAACATTTACTGAGTGAATACTTTACTGAGTGAATATTTTGTATTGAGTATGCCACATTGCTGAGCTCACTTAATCTTCAACCCTCTCAGGATAGATATTATTAATACTCATTTTTAAGAGGAGGAAACAGGTTTAAAGGGATGAAATATTAACCCAAAGCCAAGAGTTTGTAAACTGGGGTGGAGGAGGAATTTTGAAACAAAGCAGCTGACTTTATAGCTTTTCTTGCTCTGAACCTTCATGCTAGACTCAATGCCATGATTTAGGTAATGCTCTAGCCCAAGTTTAGATGTTATCCATCTCAACTTTGGCTTGTTCTTGACAAAACTTCTGAGTTTACCAGAAATAACAGCAAGCACTTATCTAGCATTTACAGTGTGCCAGGCTTTATATATATATGTATATTTACACACACACTATTTAATTCCAACATCAATGCTATGAGATAGTTACAATGCTCATATTTTCCAATAAGGAAACCAGAGCACAGGGAATTTAAATAATTTTCCCAGTGTTGTTTAGCTAGTTAGTGATGCAGGCTTAGTGGAAAGAGGCCAAATATTTAAAGTTGACCTACTTACCTAGTCTCATATCATGACCAGTAGCCCCCGTTCAACTTTAGCAGTTTTCAAACAGGATGCTGCCTCCAGCTGTAAGCTCAGATGAGAACCTGAGAATGTGAGGCCTTTGAAGGCCTCCCTTATTTGGCAGCACATGAAGGGCAACACAGTCGTTGGAGCCAACTTGCCTGGCTTCAAATCCTGCCTTTGCACTTCTGGCTGGATGCTTTTGGGTGTATTTCCAGGATTTAACTTCTCATTTGTATAAAAAAGACAATTTACCTTAATCCTGCTTTATTAAAAAAATGCTTTTGAAATACCGTCAGCAAATTATTTAGCGTCTTTGTTCCATGGTTCTACACCTATATTATGAGGATACTAATAAATCTTAATGAAGATTAAATCAACTAAGTTTTGTATAATGCTTAGCACAGTTCCTGGCACATGGAAAGTTCTATTTAAGCATCTGCTACATAAAATAATAAATATTAAAGTTTGTGCAGTATCCTGTGGATTAGTCGGTCCTGACTTTACCTAAACCCTTACTACTTTACAGTGTACCCTCTGATTTTAATACTACATAACATGTTGTATCCCAAAAAAGAAGGTTCCCAATTTTGTTAAAGCCAACAACTGGAGTTCTCTGCTGATTTACTGAAAAAAGTTTCTTGATGAAGAAATAACCATATGTGAATTGTTTTAAAGTGTTTTTAAAATTTAGAAGAAAGTAAAGACCATGTCTTTAAAATAGAATGCTTTTTTCACCTTTGCTCACTTTCTTCAATCTATAGGAATTTGTCAGTATCTGATACTATGCAAGCATTTTTATTTAAGGTGGTATTTCAAAGAAATTCAGAGGAAATACACAAAGAACTTGTACTTTGATGAATGGTGTGACAATAATACCTGTCTCAAACTCTGTTTAATATTTTCAATTTTTATTTTCAGGTCCCCCAAGGAAAATGACAGGTACTTTTTGGCACTTTCTCTAATGTCCATTGAATTGGGAGATAGGTTAGTAAATATGGCAGGCCATAGGTCCAGGGGAGCATAACTCAAATCTTACATCACTTCCAATATCACTGTCTGACTTTTTCAGATCAGGGTTTGTCAAACTTTTCTATTAAGAGTCAGGTAGCAAATAATTTAAACTTTGCAGGCTATAAAGTCTCTGTTGCAATTACTCAATTCTGCCACTATCAGGTAAAAGTAGACATGGACAATATGTTATAAATTAATGAGCTTTGCTGTGTTTCACTTTATTTATGGACATTGAATTTTATATAATTTTCACTGGTCACAAAATATTGCTCTTTTTTTGTTTTTTTCAATGATTAAAAAATGTAAAATTCATTAACTCATGGGTAGTAGGCTGGATTTAACTCACAGGCTGTTTAACTTTATGTTCCTGGCTTATTTCACTTAACGTAACGTCCTCCAGTCCATCCGTGTTGCTGTGAATCACAGGATTTCCTCCTTTTCATGGCTAAATAGTATTCCATTGTGTATGTGTAACTGAGGGGAGGCTTGGCTGCTCACTGCTTGCAAAGCCGGTAACAAGGACGATGTACAGTGAAAGGAAAGTGACTTTATTTCCAAAGCTAGCAGTGGGGGAAGCGGCCAGCTTAACCTCCAGAAATGATTCAAACTTCAGGCTGGGAAGAGGGGATTGAAAAAGGAAATTGGCAATGGGAGGCATGCAGGAGGGGTGCTGGGTACAAGGTCTGCATGTCTTGTTCCAGTGGTTATCTCGAGCCACGGTCCACCAGGAGCGCAGCTGGCGTCATCTCAGCAATGGCTGGGTTGTTGACTGTCTTGAGATAATCTCTGGAATTTTGCAGCTGCGTCTCCATGCTTGGTCTGTCTCAAGATTAGCCCCTGGAACTTCTAAGTAAGCATGTAATTAGATATAAGCATGCAGTTAAATAAACGTGCATGGGGTAAGGGAGTACATGGTGGGAGATGGTAGGAGGGAGTGAAGTTTCAGAGTATGTTTCAGGGCTGTATTTTAAAACTAAGGGGGAAAAGGCTCCTACAGTTTTTTTCAAGGTTACAACTTGAGACTGGGAAGAAAGGAGAAGAGAAAAAATGTTTTAAAATGCATTTGGGGCCGGGCAGGGTGGCTCACACCGGTAATGTGGCTAACATGGTGAAACCCCATCTCTACTAAAAAAATGCAAAAAATTAGCCGGGAGCGGTGGTGGGCGCCTGTGGTCCCAGTTGCTCCGGAGGCTGAGGCAGGAGAATGGCGTGAACCCAGGAGGCGGAGCTTGCAGTGAGCCGAGATCGCGCCACGGCACTCCAGCCTGGGCGGCACTGCAAGACTCGTCTCAAAAAAAAAAAAAAAAAAAAAAAACCACAAAAAACAGTTTGGAAGCTAAACTACTTGGTTGCTTATGTATACCACATTTTCTTAATTCATTCATCTGTTGTTGGACAGCAAGGTTGACCCCGTATCTTGGCTGTTGTGAATAGTGCTGAAATAAATAAACATGGGTGTGTGGATATCTCTTTGATATACTAATTTCCTTCGTTTTGAATAAATGCCCAGTAGTGGGATTGCTGGATCATATGGTAGTTCCATTTGTAGTTTTTTGAGGAACTTCTATATTGTTTTCTACCGTGGCTATACAAGTTTACCTTCCCGCCAGAAGTATGTAAGAATCCCCTTTCTCTGGATCCTCACTAGCATTTGCTATTTTTTGTCTTTTTGATAATAGCTATCCTAACTGGCATTAGATGATACTTCATTTTGGTTTTGATTTGCATATCCCTGTTGATGAACATGTTGAGCATTTTAAAATATATTTTTTGGCCATTTCTATGTTTTCTTTTGAGAAATGTCGATTCGGATCATTTGCACATTTTTAAATTGGATTATTATTTTGCTGTGGAGATATTTGAGTTTCTTCTGTATTCTGGATATTGATCCCATGTCAGATAAATAGTTTGCAAATATTTTCTTTCATTCTGCAGGTTACCTTTTCACTCTGTTGATTGTTTCCTTTGCTGTGCACAAGCTTTTTAGTTTAATATGATTCCATTTGTTTATTTTTGTTTTTGTTGCCTATGCCTCTGAGGTCTTATTCATAAAATCTTTTTCAAGACCAAGGTCCTGAAGTGTTTTCCCAATGTTTTCTTCTAGTATTTGACGGTTTTTCAAGTCTGACATTTAGGTCTTTGATCCATTTTGAGTGGATTTTTTTGTATAGAGTGAGAGCTGAGGGGTCTAGTTTCATTCTTCTGCATATGGATATCCAGTTTTCCCAGCACCATTCATTGAAGAGAGTGTCCTTCCTGCAGTATATGTTCTTGACACTTTTGCCAAAAATCAATTGGTTGTATATATGGATTGATTTCTGGATTCTCTATGCTGTTCCATTGATCTGTGTGTCTGTTTTTATTGCTAGTACCAGGCTGTTTTGATGACTACAACTTTGTACTTTATTTGAAGTCTAGTAGTATGATACATACCTTCAGCTTTGTTATTTTTTCTCAGGATTGCTTTGGCTATTTGGGGTCTTTTGTGGTTCCATACCAATTTTAAGACTTTCTTTTCTATTTCTGTGAAGAATGTCATTGGCATTTTGATAAGGATTGCTTCACATCTGTAGATTGCTTTGAGTAGTATGGTCACTGTAACAATTTTAATTCTTCTGATGCAGGAGAATGGGATGTTTTCCTATTTTTTTGTATCCCTTTTAATTTCTTTCATCAGTGTTTTGTAGTTTTTCTTGCAGAGGTCTTTTACCTGCTTGGTTAAATTTATTTTTACATATTTTATTTTTCTTGTAGCTATTGTAAATGGGATTGCCTTTTTTTTTTTTCTCAGCTAAATTGTTACTTGTGTATAGAAATGCCACGGGATTTTTGTAAGTTGATTTTGTATCCTGCAACCTTACTAAATTCATTCATCAAATCTAGGAGTTTTTTAAATGGAGTCTTCGGGTTTTTCTCAGTGTAAGACCACATGATCAGCAAACAGGGATAATTTGACTTCCTCTTTTCCAACTTGTATGCCTTTTATTTATTTCTTTTGCTTGATTGCTCTGGATAGGATTTCTGGTACTATGTTGAACAGCAGTGGTAAAAGTGGGCATTCTTGCCTTGTTCCAGTTCTTAGAGGAAGTGCTTCCAACTTTTCCCCATACAGTATGATGTTAGCTGTGGCATTGTCATTTGTGGACTTTATTGTATTGAGGTGCTTTTCCTCTACCTAATTTTTTGAGGGTTTTAATCATGAAGGCATGCTGAATTTTATTAAATAGTTTTTCTGTATCATTATGATGATCATATGGTTTTTATCCTTCATTCTGCTGATGTGATGTTTCATCCTTATTGATTTGTGTATGTTGAACAATCCTTGCATTCCTGGGCTAAATCCTACTTGGTCATGGTGTATTATCTTTTTGAGGGGCTATTGGATTTGATTTGCTAATATTTTGTTGAGGATTTTTGCATCTGTGTTCATCAGGGATTTTGCCCTGTAGTTTTGAATTTTTGTCATGTGCGTGTCTGGTTTTGGAATAATTAAATTTTTCTGCTTTAATTTTGTGGAATAATTTCAGAAGAATTGGTATTCATTCTTCTTTAAAGGTTCAGTAGAATTCAGTGGTGAAGTCATCCAGTCCTGAACTTTTCTTTTTCAGTAGACTTTTTGTTACTGATTTAATCTTGTTACTTGTTGTTGGTCTGCTCAGGTTTTCTGTTTCTTTTTGGTTCAATTTTGGTAGGTTATATGTGTTCAGGAATTTATTTCCACTAGGTTTTCAAATTTATTGGCATATGGTTATTCAGAGTGGTCTGTAATTATCCTTTCCATTTCTATGGTATTTGATGTGATGTCTGCTTTTTCATTTCTGATTTTATTTGTTTGGGTCCTCTATCTCTCTTTTTTTTGAATCTGTAGATTACTTTGAGTAATGGTAGAATGCTATAGATCATTAGTCTAGCTAATGGTTTGCTAATTTTTATCTATTCAAAAAACCAACTGTTTGTTTTGTTACTCTTTTGTATATTTATTTTGGTCTCCATGTCTTTTATGTCTGCTCTGATCTTTATTATTTCTTTCCTGCTACTAATTTTTTGGTTTGGTTTGTTTTTGTCTTTCTAGTTATTTGAGATGCATTGTTAAGTTGTTTATTTGAAATTGTTTTGGTTGTTTGATGTAGACATTTATTGCTATAAACTTGCCTCTTACTACTGCTTTTGCTGTGTCCCACAGGTTTTGGTATGTTGTGTTTCTATTTTCATTTGTTACAAGGAATATTTTGTTTTTATTTAAATTTCTTCACCCATTGATCATTTAGGAGCATATTGTTTAACTTTAATTTATTTGTATAGTTTTAAATTTGTCTCTTGTTTTGATTTCTAGTATAATTCCATTGTGGTCAGATAAGATACTTGATATAATTTTGATCAAAAAATTTTTTTGAGACTTGTTCTGTGTCTTAACATATGGTCAATCATGGAAAATATTCCATGTACTAATGAAAACAGTGTGTATTCTGCAGCTGTGCATCTATTCAGTGAAATGTTCTGTAAATGCCTGTGAGGGCCACTTAGTCTGTGGTGCAGTTTAAATCTGGTGTTCCTTTGTTGATTTTTCTTTCTAGATGATTTGTTCTAGGGAGATAATGGGGTGTTGAAGTCCTCAACTGTTACTATATTGGGGTCTATCTCTCTGTTTAGATCTAATAATAGTTGCTTTATATATCTTGGTGCTCCATTTTGGGCACAGGTATATTTATAATTGTTATATTTTCTTGCTGAATGGATTCCTTTATTATTATATAATGTCCTTCTTTGTCTCTTTTTTCAACTTTTGACTTGAAGTCTGTTTTTTCTAAGCATGGTTACTGCCACTTGCTTTTGGTTTCTGTTTGTGTGAGATATATGCTTCCATCCCTTCACTTTAGATCTTTATGTGTCTTTATAGGTCATGTAAGTTTCTCGTAGGCAGCATATAG